TGTACCTTTCCCAATACTTTATTATGCAGCAATCAAATGAATAAACGTGAATATTTAGGAATGATTTGCAAGAGTTCTTTTGTTTCAGCGAATTAGGCATTTTTCTATCTGCATGACTGAAAACAGAGTTCGCAAAAATAGAGTAAGTGAAAAATAGAATCTTGAGGTCAGTCTCACTACACCAGCTCGAGATCCTCGATCCCTAATCGTATGAAGATTTGGACTAGGTTAATCGAAGGACAAAATTTAAAATTCCGATGTCGGTGTTTCGCCACGTTTTTTTGCGGTGATGCGATGTTTGTTATATTGTTTCCGCGGTTTTGCGGTGTGGACAGTCCTCCAATGTCCCCCTCATTATCATACCTTAAACCCGTACGGAACAGTAAAACATTTCTTCATGTAATTTATAAATCGAAAAAGAAAACAAACTTGTTATGCATTCTAAACAACGTCTTTCAATATAGCAAGATTCGAACACGAAAACGAAATGCCAAGAAAAGCATTAAAACAAAAAAAAATTGGAATCCAGTTTTTTTTGGAATCCGGAANGGCCGTTTTCTTGCAAATTGCAGCTTGATTTTCCCTGGCAATGACTGTACCTTTCCCAATACTTTATTATGCAGCAATCAAATGAATAAACGTGAATATTTAGGAATGATTTGCAAGAGTTCTTTTGTTTCAGCGAATTAGGCATTTTTCTATCTGCATGACTGAAAACAGAGTTCGCAAAAATAGAGTAAGTGAAAAATAGAATCTTGAGGTCAGTCTCACTACACCAGCTCGAGATCCTCGATCCCTAATCGTATGAAGATTTGGACTAGGTTAATCGAAGGACAAAATTTAAAATTCCGATGTCGGTGTTTCGCCACGTTTTTTTGCGGTGATGCGATGTTTGTTATATTGTTTCCGCGGTTTTGCGGTGTGGACAGTCCTCCAATGTCCCCCTCATTATCATACCTTAAACCCGTACGGAACAGTAAAACATTTCTTCATGTAATTTATAAATCGAAAAAGAAAACAAACTTGTTATGCATTCTAAACAACGTCTTTCAATATAGCAAGATTCGAACACGAAAACGAAATGCCAAGAAAAGCATTAAAACAAAAAAAAATTGGAATCCAGTTTTTTTTGGAATCCGGAATCCACTGAGCTGGAATCCGGAATCCAGTACACGGAATCCGGAATCCACAGGGTGGAATCCAGAATCCAAGACTGTCATGGATTCCCTTACATGGGGCGAAAAACAGCCCAAAGAAGCCACAGTCTGGAGAGAACTCAGAAAGTAAAATTTTGTCCCCAGTGGAGCGGTGAGGAACAAAAATCCGTTATGAGCATGAGCAGTGATATTTGTAACTTCTGCACATGCGTGACCGGAAGTCCGAAATTTTCGGACATCCGGTAGCGGCTGCCTCCAGAGCCCCTCGTTTCAAGACCACGTGACCAAGAAACGGCACTGGGGACGAGAATTTGTCCTTTTAAGAAACCGTTGGACCTCCATGACTTTCTTGATAGGTCAATTTAAGAAAATAAGTGCTTTTCGAGTGTAGGTTTTTGTCGAGGGTCGAGGGTAGAATGTCGACGGTCGATAGTAAATTGTAGACTGTTCACAGTCCTCTATTTTTCCGTAAGATCATAGAGATCGAGCGCTTTGTGTGACGGGCTGCCATCTTGCATGAGTGTCAAAAGATCGTAAGATTTCCCGATTTTTCGGACGAGTAAAAAACTTTCCTTGCGAATTCTATAACAATTTTCATGTCGGAACCCCATGTTGCTCATACAAAGTCTTTTAATATAACGCAAAATTTGACCGAGTCACGCGGGAGATTTGCCTCCCACGCAGGCGTTTTTAGGGGAGCTCGTCTTTCATCCCTACCCACGAGGGATGAAGGACGAGCTCTCCTAAACACGCCTGCGTGGGAGGCTAGCGGGAGATGTACTGTCATTTGACAATGCCTGTTTTTAATAATAGTGCAAAGCGCTTCTGACTGAATACTGTACTGAATGCCGAAGCGAGACTTATTGATCAGTGAAGCCTACGCTCAGCTTGGTGCGGGACAAGTCTTCTGTGAGATACGAGTGGTTGCACGTTCAATGGTTTTATAAGGTCAGTGGGTCATGTATGACCCCATGAAATGTCCTGAGACATCAGTGCCATGTCGTGCCTATAGTAAGTGTAGTTAGTAAGTATAGTAAGTGTGGTATCTGTAGTACCTGTTAGAAAGTTCAGTAGCTGCAGTAGCTGTAGTAAGTGTAGTAGCTGTAGTAGCAGTAGTAAGTGTAGTAGGTGTAGAAGGTCTAGTAAGTGTAGTAGCTGTAGTAAGTGTAGTAGGTGTAGTATCTGTAGTAGCTGTAGTATGTGTAGTAAGTGTATTAGCTGTAGTTGTACGGCGCTGGTAACTGTTGGCTACGATTAGGTGGCATTTGTTCTAAAATATTGTTGACTGATGCTCTACCAGATAAAATAGATAAAATCAATATCATACATAAGTAACAAACGCACTGCTTTATTTACAACTTGTGACAGCAACAACATTTATCCCCCAGCCAATTTTAACCCAAGTATAAAATTGCGATCAACAAAGAAGCAAATCGCAGCAAATTAATCTCATAATTTCAACAACTTCCCAGGCCTCGACATTCATTACAGATACACAACAGTAGAACAGACAAAATTTGCTCCCGGTAAAGACATTAGAACCAGCTAAAGGTCTTCCCATAAAGGAGAAATTCTTTCCGCTATGTAAAATGCAGTGCAAATTAATGATGCCCTCTTTACCTCTTAAACTAAAACCCACTCGTTTGCATCCCGTCATACATCCCCAAAATGATGACAAAAGCTATTTATGAATCGAGCAAAAATGAAAAGTGTTTCTAACATAAAATTGCAGCGGCTTCCAATGACACGTGAGCGTTGGCTGGCATCTAACTATTTGCTAGCCAGTCTCTTAAACTTTTCGCTTTGGGTCAAACTAATCATGACTTATTCTAGAGAAATTTTAAAGCTAAATTAACTATGAGCCAAGTATTTGTTTTTTAAGAGACTTCAAGAAAATTTGGCGGTGCTTTATAACCCGAACGTCATAAGCCGCGGATCAGTTGAATGGTAATATATCACGCACACTTTATTACCCGGGGAGGGGGGGGGGGCACTTGGGTATTTTTTGGGTGGGTATGTGCCGCCCGGGACTCTAAATTGGCACCCCATTCTAGAAAAAATTTCCCCTAAAATTGATACCCAGTTCTAAAAATGGGCCAATTTTTATACCCCGTTCTAGTATTCGCCCTAAAACTGATACCCCGTTCTAGAAATGGGCCAATTTTTTATACTCCGTCAGGAGCCCATCATTTGATGGGCTCCTGACTCCGTTCTAGGGTGCAACAAGAGTACAACAGTTTGCTTGTTAACGCATTGAACCGTATTTTTAAAAGCAATCTGTCCTTGAGTACTTTCAAATGGGTGCTTACAAAAGTGGAGCTTTCGTGCGTTCGAAATTTTATACCCCGTTCTAGAAAACGCCTCTGAAATGGAGACCCCGTTCTAAATCAGGAGCTTCAAAATCACGACCCCTTTGGGCGGTACATACCCGTATAGGTAATGTATGGGAGTACCCCCCCGGGCTTTATTACTACTATAAGACCACGCCCACACCACTAAGGAATTTACAACGATCTGTTATCTGTGATGTGTGAACACCTATATCGAATTGCTAGCCTAAGGTCACGCCTTTCCACTTCACTAAATCACTAAACTAAAACACGTAATTTAAGCTCATGGTTTTGGCTTTGCAACTGTCACTTAAAAAACGTCTTCACGATACTCATATATTAATGACCCATATTTTAACACCGACAAGAATAATAAATAATGTCTAATCCCACACAAAATTATCAAATCTTTGAAGAACTTATGTCTGCAGGACGCGTTTATATGTTCCTTAGTTATTTAGCACTCTTATCTTAAAATCAATCTCTTTCTCACTCAACTCTATTGGGTAGAATATCAATGAATTTTCAAAAATCTCTGGCTTGAGTGAGTTGTAAAATAACTCTTGATTAAATTAATAAATTACCCAAAATAGCCACTCGAAATATAACAGTCATAGGTCTGTAAATTCCCTGTGAAACGCTAACTAACAACTCTTCAAGCTAACGCAAATCACTTTCCATGAAATAATAATTGAAATAAAAATCATCTCTTCAATTAATTTAAAGTAGCAAGCATTATCATAAGCTAACAGCATAAACGTTTGCCATTTCCTTATAAATAGATTTGTCTAGAATATCAAAACAAAACTACACGAGAGAACAAGACCAATCCGTCAGTTCCACCAGGGAACTGAAGATGACTGTTATCAAGTATCCTGCTTGATAAATTCTGGTTTTCTCGTTTCATTTCATCAACAACATTTCACTTATTTTCTACAGTTAACAGGTGGTCTCTTCGGTTTCAAATTGCATATTTCAACGTCGAAAACCAATCATTAAGAGGACCACTGCACACTGGCGAATGGTGGTACGACCCACGGACCAACAGTTATACGCAAAGTTTGGTAAATAAAAGTATTCAAAGTATTTTCGGTTCTTACCAATAGTCCAAAATTATCTGACAGGCATTTCATTCTCTGCCATTTTCAACTTAAAATGTGGCTAACTTAAAACTAATTCTGCTATTCTATAAAATTTGGAAAGACTATGTAATGAAGTAAACCAAAATTAACAACATATAATTAAGTAACTCTTATTTTGCCATTGATGAGAAAATCGTAACTATAAATTCACTATACTCTGATTGAAAGCTATACAAGCTGCATACATACTAAAAAAACTTTGCAAATCACGCTTTATTTACGCTATAAAAATCATGTATTTATATATTAAATTCTAACCATTACGTCAGTAAAGCTTGTATTTTCGGACCGGATATGATCCCTTCGTGAACGAGGAAAGGAACAAATGTATGAATGACATTCCTGGTTTGTGGACCGGTTGCTTTTTATTCCTACAGTGTCTTGTACTTGTCTTCGGGGATGGGCCTGTGAGATTCAAAAAGAACTTTCATTTAATAATTTTCAGATTAGGAAATGTGCCAACACTTACAAACAACACGGTACTAACAGATAAACTAACAATTGACACTTAATGACTGGTCCCTAAGGAGACAGTTAATTTTGTTTCCCGAGAATCGAGATTCGATATAGCTGGAAATTTTGAGGCTGGAAATTCATTAAACCTCGCTGTCACGACGGTCGACATTCGCGGGTAACAGTGTCACCCTCTGACGTCATAGATCCGCTCAGAGATTTTGGCGGGAAACAGTTTCATTTTTAGATGTCATGTGACCTCCAAGTAACCTATGAGAGTGCACGTTGTTGGGAAAAAAATTCCAGCTTTATGACAGCATGACTTTAAGGTGAGTGATTACAAAGGTTTGTGGGGAAAGATCTTGGAAAAATAAAAAAATAAAAAACAAACTATCTCAACACGAAAGGGCAAACCACTAGGACGCTCTCTAGAACGACCGCAATACATTTTCCGTCACCTTACCCCAATCTATATCTGTTATCTGTGATGTGTGAAAAACTATATGGTATTGCTAGAATGCGCTCATGCTTTCCTACATCACTAACGCCTGATTGTAGGTAATGCTCTTGGTTTTGCAACTGTCAATTCAAAACTTGTTCACGATATTTATATATCATGCCCCACATTTTAATACTGACAAGAATAATAAATAATGTCTTATCCCACACAAAATTATCAAATCTGTGAAAGAAACGTGTTTCTGCAGGACGCGTTTATATGTTCTTTAGTTATTTAGCACTCTTATCTCAGGCTCTTTCTCACTCGGGCCTACTGGGTAGAATATCAATGCATTTCCAAAAATTTTTGGTTGAGTGAGTTGTAAAATAACTCTTGATTGGATTACCCAGGTTTCACAGAGACTAGCAAAGTTCGTTTTACAGAAAAGTTCGGGACTGGCAGATGCTGGTGTTCACTTGATCGGGGGTCCGGTTAATGAAGGTTGCACAGAGGACATAAAGGGTACATTTGGTACATCCCCAAAATATATTTAAAAACTTAAGGTTTAGGCACGTGTCGACAACTTCAGCAGCAAACTGAAGAATAAGTACATAAATTAATTTATTACTGACATTGCGCAAATTGCATGTGCATATGATCAAATTCGCAACACAAAGGATCTGCATTCGGAAATCAGCTGAGGGAACAGCACTATTGGAAACAGCCACAGATTATAGATCATAAAATCAGCGACACGAAATGTTTTTTTCGGGTACGAACATCTGTTCTAAGAGCTTTGAACATTTAATGAAGCCACATCAATGTCCCATAGTGTAGACAATGCATTAGGATTAATATGGTTGGTTTATTGAGTATGCAGCCTTTGAATGTGTTTAATGAGGTACTGCTACTAACCTGCTATATCCACCTGGCAGATTCAACATTCCGTCTTTTGTCAAAAACATGGATAATTGGTTATTTTGAAGTTCATCCCCTGATGACAAACAGGCAAAAACAAAAACAAAATGAGAAACATCTTTCTTCATTTTCTTCAAGTTCCTCCACCTGTCATTCCACAAATTGCGGTCGTTTCGCTCGAAAGTCGATTTCCCCGATGGCATTTCGCTCGGATTTAAGTCGATTTGCCTAAAGACATAAAATACTCCACAACATGGTGAACGTCGTTACTGAGGGAGTAATAACGACTCGAAGTAATCGGATGAAATTCAGGCTAGGTGAACATACAAATCAGAAATGCTGTTTTAGGTAAGCTTGAGTTCCACATGTCTAGTCACTGTCTTTTTTACTCACTGTGTTTAGGCCAAAGAACGTCAAAAACGCATCGGGCGAATCGGCGTAGCCCGGGCGAAGTGACGTTTGGTGAATCAACCTTCGGGCGCAACAACCTGATACCCATTCCACAACCCTCTGATAAATAAAACTGAGTTAATCTCTGCGCATCAGTTTAGGCTAATGATGAAGGTATTGGTTTACTAAAGTGTGCAACAGTTAGTTGTTACACCCTCGGTCACACAAAATCTACAAAATGAATGCCGTTTCTAAGTGTTCCAAAGACCTGGCTGTGATCCAAGTGACAAGGATAATGTCATCAAACCAGGCTAAGATAAACAAAATTTATCTTACCTGAAGGATTTTCATCCCCTGATAAATTGTGGCTGGAAGAAACAAGGTAAAAAGTTAAGCACAGCGTCTACAGAATATTCTTACCCGCGCTTATTAAAAATTCCAATACAAATTGCTATAGAGAGAGAGAATCAATCCAAAAAATGGCTGGACCTGTCTCATGATTTAAGAACCTTGCATATGGGGAGTGTTTGTTCACAGAAGGTGACTATGGTAAAAAGAACTTACCCACTAAAAATTTGTTCAATTACATCATCTGCATTAACTCTGCTATGGCTTGATCGTATGTCATCAGGTTTCTGTCAAATAAACAATACATTGCGACAGTGAAACCTCTTTAATTCGGGCAACAAAGGAACAAAGAAAAGTATCTGCAATTCAGAGCAGTCCTTGCCACACAACACAGGGCGGCTAATAAGGAGTGTATGAAGTTTATTTCAGATATTCAGAAAGTGAGGACGGCGCAAAGAGTAGTGAGCCGGAAAAACAAAACAAAACAAAAAACAGTGCGGGGTGGGGGTAGCGGGGATCAAGTGTGCCACTCTCTATCTCTATCACTGGAACAGTATATCTGAGACAAGGAGAACTTTTTATAGTCATAGTAGAGGAGACTGGTTATGGAAGCTGGCAAAATTGAAAGACTGGCACCAATAATGGTACTATAATTTCTGTTGGGAGCTCNACAATACATTGCGACAGTGAAACCTCTTTAATTCGGGCAACAAAGGAACAAAGAAAAGTATCTGCAATTCAGAGCAGTCCTTGCCACACAACACAGGGCGGCTAATAAGGAGTGTATGAAGTTTATTTCAGGTATTCAGAAAGTGAGGACGGCGCAAAGAGTAGTGAGCCGGAAAAACAAAACAAAACAAAAAACAGTGCGGGGTGGGGGTAGCGGGGATCAAGTGTGCCACTCTCTATCTCTATCACTGGAACAGGCTATCTGAGACAAGGAGAACTTTTTATAGTCATAGTAGAGGAGACTGGTTATGGAAGCTGGCAAAATTGAAAGACTGGCACCAACAATGGTACTATAATTTCTGTTGGGAGCTCCCTCAAAGAGCAGGGTTGACACAGTGACTGAATAAGTTCATTTATTGGACATTTCATTACAGATGGGAATACAATTCAATGTTGTGCACCTTCAAATGCAAAAATGCAAAACAAAAACATACAATAAAGAAATATGTGGGGCTTCATAACCAATATATTTTAATAATTAATTATGCTATGATAGAAGGGTTTTGACATGGAGAGGTTTAGGTGTGTATCAAATGATGATTATTACACTCCGCTAAAAGGAAGAAATAAGAAAACAACAGAGGCTAAAATTACTGATTGTTATCCTTAGTGTATGGACTGTGGCATATTCTTCAACATTCAGTTGAAAACACTCATGCACTCACCTTCCAACTGATTCTTTTGCCCTGTTTTTCAGGTGCATGTGATAATGTATGCTCTGAACCACAAAATGCTGTATCATTAGCTGTTGGTACTGTTAAGGAAGATAGAGAACCTAAGGCATACATAAATAACAACAACAACAACAACAACAACAACAACATTTTTATTTACACTTTTAAAAATTAAAAGGTGGAAACACTTGTTGCCTGTAATTAGCTTAAGCTAGTCAAGACCGGCAAGACGACCTAGTTTGCTTCAAGAAACAAAGGTTTGCATCTTATAAATGGTGTAAACAGCTGAACATCCTAAGTGGTGTCTGCATAAAACTTTAAAAAAGGATACAGCCAGCTTGTCCTGATCCAGCACTTTGTTTTCTAGTTGGAAACATAAAATAAACCAAAAAAACTTGTCAACATTGACTTCCCAATTTTACATCTTCAAAGTCACCTGTTTCTACTCCCCCCCTCCCCTCCCCCAAACTTTCCCCTCAATGGTTAGATCCAGTATCCACAGCTTTGTCAAGCCTCAAAAGTGTGTGGTGAGATGAAAAAACTTTAGCCTGTCTAAACAAAGTCCATTTGATAAATTAAAACAGCCCTAATCTATGTTTATATCACACGAGGCCTTTTTCTAGGACTAACTTTGGAAAAATACAAGCTGTAATAGGGAAAACCAAGAAACTGCAAAGAACTTTGTTTGAAAACGGGAACTGGTGGTGACATCAGCTGGTCTGATGTAAACCTAGCTGATGTAAACAGGCGTATGGGCAATTCTGCTAAAAAGGTAAGAGACAAGTTACCAAAAAAAAAGAAAAAAACCTGAAAAATTTTGATACTGCTTGGGTTGTTCATTCAGTTCTGCTGTGAAGGTCATGTTCACAGTTCTAAATATGATTCATTTCATATATTTCAATTCATTATAAAGCTGCCAAGGTCAGTCTGAAAGGTACAGCAGTTACCATGGAAATGAATTTTCACAGTAACACCTGCACAACATTCCACGTGAAGCATACATGCCCATAATGAGATGTGAAAAAAAAAAAAACGATACACATCCGTAATAAAATTAAAACTAAGGTATTGAAGGTAAAAAAATAAATAAATAAAAATTCAAAATTAATCAAAGCAAATTACAAATGTTAGCAACTGGGAACAACTCTTTAAGATTTTTAACTAAAAAGAAATGCTGTGGTATGTTGAGAGCAACAAAATATGACAAACTTTTAAGACTAAGATTCTTAACCAAGAAAAAAAATACTATGAATTGCTAAGAGCAACAAAACATGACAAGACAAAAATAGTGGTGCAAAGTCGAACAGTATGCAACACCGTCATCAACAATACCTCCTACTTAATCTGCGTTCCAAACTTGAGGAAATAGAATGACCCGTTGAGTACCCGGATATCCGTGAAAGTTGACTAATGCTCCGGTTGTGGTTGCTGTTGCTATAAAATGGTTCACTGAAGCTTCGTGAATGTCCAGGGACAAAGGAAGCATTCTCAGGAGCACCGCCAGCAGTCTCCTGACATTCTGATGCACTGTCTGAGGTGCTTTTAGTAAGGCTCCTTCCTGTCTCACCCCCTGAACTGGCAGTACTCACTGAGTCATGATCAGAAAGTGGTGCCCTGTTTTCAGCTGTTTCTGTGGTTACTTGGTTGTGAGAGGGTGCATGAGGTCTGTTGAAACAGCAAAATAGTAATAATGAACACTTGAATTGTCACACAATCTAACTTGAGAATTACCTGAGTAGGCTCCTGAATTTTCACCAGTTACCTATTTTAAAACAATTAGCCACATGGATTATTGATTGTATGTGAAACATATCCTCTTGTTATGAAATATGTTATTCATTGTGGGATACTTGACGTATGGTAAATGTTATCATTTGCTTCACGGCAGTCACTTTGTTACTAATTGCAGTGTTTAAACAACTTACTACCGGTATTATTGCTGCTTTGCTGTGCTGAACTATTTGTTGCACAAGGGTTGTTACAAAGCAGTATATATAAAAAACATAGTAAGAAAACAACACCAATTTTTATTACTGTGTAAATTATTATGTGCCATATCATTAAGTCAACCAGAACTGTGACATCCTAAGGGTTGTCAGAAAGTTTTAAAGTAGATGGCTGAGTTGTCAAAGTAAGTAAAGTAAGTAAGTAAAGTAAAGTAAGTCCAGGGATATTTTATTTAAAAAAACGCCATCGGTTAAGAAATGCTAAGCAGAGTAGCCGGCCAATGCTAAGCAAAAAGGCGGCAACTTTCGCTGGCAGCCTGCTACTTTGACCACCCTACATCCTTCTATTTATGATGAGCTATGAGCAAGTCCAAATTGGAGGCTCCTTTAAAGAGACCTTGAGTCTTCCACTAGCTGGCCTACTTGTTAATTCCAACATTAAGTAGTCAATGATTCATCATCCCCCAGAACACACTCACACTTTGAACAGTGGATCTCCAGATCTGAGTTGCATACTGACTTCAACCTATAGTTAACAACAAAGAAACAAAAAAAAAAATTATCATTATCATCATCCAAAAAATATTTTGTAGCTCAAGAAAATTTCCATACAGTCAACTCTCTCCAAGACGGACACCTTTGGGACGGGCACTAAGTGTCCGCCTTAGAGAGATGTCCATCTTATAAAGCATCAAATAAAGGGAATAAGCAAAGGCGGGGACCAACTCTAGGTGTCCGTTTTACAGAGGTGTCCGTCTTATAGAGGTGTCCGTTAAGAGAGAGTCAACTGTACTTCTGACCCTCTTGAATATACTTAAGCCTAACATTCAAATTTCCAAAAAGGTGGGGAAGGTGGGTGGGTGGGAAGGGCCTCAAGAAAAAAAGTATGAAGATTCCCTTACATTACATATTGGCTGGTTCTGAGACATCACACTTACTATAAAAATAATATAATGACTTTGCCTTTCTGTTCAAATATTATTTGTTTGTTTGTTTGTTTGTTTTTTGTAACTGAATTGAGAAAACCTATGTTGCATAAGCCTTATAGTTTCTCTGGGCTTTCTTGCTATTTTCTTGTAAAGTCTTTGTAATCTTCATCATTGTAACATTACAAGAAGGTGGAATTAAAACAAAATGAAATGCTTTACCTCTAGGATGGAGTTGTCTTGTCGGAGCTGAGTCTTATCTCCATATCCTTCTAAAATGTATCTCTTAGTGGTTGTGGCTGATCCAGCAAACTCTGCTAAATTGACATCCACAAAGCCCAGCTACAGGAAAGACATAAAAAATGCACATTACCAGTGATTTTGTTAACTCTGGGTCCTACCTCCTTGACACATGAAAATCTCAAAGATGCAAATAATTTGTGGCATGTGTCTTGTGGGATGCAAAGATCAATTTATTGATCGATCTAAAGATGTTTTTTATAGAGTACCCCAATCGTGTGATTTCTGTGGCTGTTCTTATGGCTGTTGTTAAACAACCCTTATTTCTTTTAGTCTTTGTTGTGCTTTACAATAGAAGGAGTATATTTTTATTTCAGTAAACTGTAATAGAGAGTTTTGGAGTCTGTCTTCAGATTAACTGTGTTGTTACAAAAGACCCAGGGACTCACTGCTTTTAGAAATGGGACTCAATGGTTCTGGACTGGGACTGAGTCCCAGGACTCACCATAACTATTTGCAACAAAATTACTGCATTACAAACACAGTCCTCATGTATATAACAGACCACTCCTTTTCTGTTGCGTATTTTAGACTGTAGGTACAAGAGGAGACTTTGCACTGACTCATTATGATCCAATGACCCAAGGCTGTGCTCCAATAAAAATTGAAGGGAGCCCAGTGCTCTGAGCTTGTGAAATCCAGGGTGCCAAGCTTATGATTAAGATTTTCTAGTCACCTGGGGGGGGGAAAAGTTAGGTGCCAGGGGCCACTGTGCACTACAAGATTATAGCCTTGTGATCTGCATTAAAAATGCATTAGTGCTACTAAGCAGCCACACAGTTTTCATGTGCTTTGAAACCTACTCCAAATAATACTTGGTGATGTGTAAACCAGTGACCCAGTACATGACTGTCTAAGACTAATATTAAAACAATTATTATTACTCTGGCTTTGCTAGCAAATTTGTTTGGTATGTACAGCTTAAAGCCCAGAAGCTCTCAGCAGCAACAAATATATCAATCCTTCATTGTTTAGTTGTTTATGTCTGTAAAGGTGACTAAGAACTGTCCTTTACCTTGATGTGTGCCTTCCCACCTTTAGTTTCCTGCAAAGAGACCAGACAAACACCAAATGTTAAGTTTACAGCATTAAACAAGTCAGAGACAAACATTACCCTGTTATTAGCAAGATACAACCTCTGCCATAACAAATACACCCCTTTATGCCACCAAAGAAAATGCCTTCATAAGAAAAAAATTAAGTTAACAACAATGTGTTCAAAGATTTTCAAAATCAGTGCCACTAATTCTGACAAGCTTTATTGAATTATCCCGCAACATCTTGAGTTTGTTTTTGTTAAGAATGTATCTGGAGCAAATATTTATCCTGAGTTTAAGAAAAACATCATTACAGGTTACCAGTTACTGGCAGACAGCCAATATTTCCACTTGCAATGAATAAAAATGAATAAAATGAATAAAAAAAATAAAAAAGATTAGTTTCACACACAGTTAACACCGAGGGTTTTAATAGCTAAAGCATAAACTACAATGTATGTATTTAATATAGTGCTTTTAATGCAATGCAGAACTATGTCTTGTGAAATTTGGGTACACTGTGTTTTTATGATCTCCAAGTATTGATACTTGTATCTTTGTAGTAAAGTGAAAATATGAAGTAACCTTAAATGATGCACTCCTTTTCCAATATGTCTAATGCAAATGCTATTACATACTAAGCACTGAGTTAGAGCTCTCTTTCTCACAACCTATTTATCACATTTCTTACAACAATTAAAGTAAGAAGTGAGAAAAGAGAAGGGGACAAAAAATAGTAGAGGAACAACATAAATTTAGTTACTGCACACAGTCAAGCAAGTACATGTACAACATAGTGTTCTCATATTTCTTCAATAATTTCTTGTAGATTTAATAACAGGGTACACCAAAACCCACGTCCGATTGTCACATTTCTGATTGCTGAATTACAACCACAGAAACACGAATTTCAATAGAATTGAAATTTGTCTCCTAGTCATATAAAAGCAAACTTCCACCTTGACAAAATGAGTGTAAATACTCCTATAAATTTCTTCATTCTTTGGCCATTCTATTTGTTTCTGTGAGCTTTGTATGTTATGACTAAGGACCCTGGCCTAAATAACATTTGCCGTAGCATTGTAAATTATACCACAATTAACATTGATACTAATGGAATCATGCTAAAGGTGACGTGTTATATATGTCTTTTATATTCTCTTCATTTATAAATGGAGTTGAACCAAACTTTTTGGACAAGCACAATTTGCATTTTGGACAACCAAAATCTCTATGATGGTTGTCCAAAGGACAAGTGGATTACAAAATTTTTCTCTTACTCTGTGAGTAAATTAATATTCATGTAAAACTTGAAATGTGGTCTTATTAGTGGAACATACTTTTTTTTATTTAACTAGGTCCACTGAATAGAAACCAAGCAACAAAACAGAGCATTGCAGTGCAGAAAGCTACAAGCAGTTGAGGGGCTGATGTGAGACTGGGCTAAAATGTTAATCAATTCTTCTGGACAAACAGTGGGAAATTTGACAATGACCACTAACCCACATCCCCCCCCCCCCCCCCCCCCCCCCCCCAACCTGAGTAGGCTCCTGAATTTTCACCAGTTACCTATTTTAAAACAATTAGCCACATGGATTATTGATTGTATGTGAAACATATCCTCTTGTTATGAAATATGTTATTCATTGTGGGATACTTGACGTATGTTAAATGTTATCATTTGCTTCACGGCAGTCACTTTGTAATTATTAATTGCAGTGTTTAAACAACTTACTACCCGTATTATTGCTGCTTTGCTGTGCTGAACTATTTGTTGCACAAGGGTTGTTACAAAGCAGTATATATAAAAAACATAGTAAGAAAACAACACCAATTTTTATTACTGTGTAAATTATTGTGTGCCATATCATTAAGTCAACCAGAACTGCGACATCCTAAGGGTTGTCAGAAAGTTTTGAAGTAGATGGCTGAAATGTCAAAGTAAGAAGCCAGTCTAGGGATATTTTTATTTAAAAAATGCCATCCGTAAAGAAATGCTAAGCAGAGTAGCCAGCCAATACTAAGCAAGAAGGCGGCAACTTTGGCTGGCAGCCTGCTTAACTTTGACCACCCTACATCCTTCTATTTATGATGAGCTATGAGCAAGTCCAAATTGGAGGCTCCTTTAAAGAGACCTTGAGTCTTCCACTAGCTGTCCTACTTGTTAATTCCAACATTAAGTAGTCAATGATTCATCATCCCCCAAAACACACTCACACTTTGAACAGTGGATCTCCAGATCTGAGTTGCATACTGACTTCAACCTATAGTTAACAATAAAGAAACAAAAAAAATATTATCATTATCATCATCCAAAAAATATTTTGTAGCTCAAGAAAATTTCCATACAGTCAACTCTCTCCAAGACGGACACCTTTGGGACCGGCACTAAGTGTCTGCCTTAGAGAGATGTCCATCTTATAAAGCATCAAATAAAGGGAATAAGCAAAGGCAGGACCAACTCTAGGTGTCCGTTTTACAGAGGTGTCCGTAATATAGAGGTGTCCGTTAAGAGAGAGTCGACTGTACTTCTGACCCTCTTGAATATAATTAAGCCTAACATTCAAATTTCCAAAAAGGTGGGGGAGGTGGGTGGGTGGGTGGGTGGGTGGGTGGGTGGGAAGGGCCTCAAAAAAAAAGTATGAAGATTCCCATACATTACATATTGGCTGGTTCTGAGACATCACACTTACTATAAAAATAATATAATGACTTTGCCTTGCTGTTCAACTAATATGTGTTTGTTTGTTTGATTGTTTGTTTGTTTGTTTTTTTGTAACTGAGTTGAGAAAACCTATGTTGCATAAGCCTTATAGTTTCTCTGGGCTTTCTTGCTATTTTCTTGTAAAGTCTTCCTAATCTTCATCATTGTAACATTACAAGAACGTGGAATTAAAAAAACGAAATGCTTTACCTCTAGGATGGAGTTGTCTTGTCGCAGCTGAGTCTTATCTCCATATCCTTCTAAAATGTATCTCTTAGTGGTTGTGGCTGATCCAGCAAACTCTGCTAAATTGACATCCACAAAGCCCAGCTACAGGGAAGACATAAAAAATGCACATTACCAGTGATTTTGTTAACTCTGGGTCCTACCTCCGCGACACATCATGAAAATCCCAAAGATGCAAATAATTTGTGGCATGTGTCTTGTGGGATGCAAAGATCAATTGTATTGATCGATCTAAAGATGTTTTTTATAGAGTATCCCGTTTGTGTGATTTCTGTGGCTGTTCTTGTGGCTGTTGTTAAACAACCCTTATTTCTTTTAGTCTTTGTTGCGCTTTACAATAGAAGGAGTATATTTTTATTTCAGTAAACTGTAATAGAGAGTTTTGGAGTCTGTCTTCAGATTAACTGTGTGGTTACAAAAGACCCAGGGACTCACTGCTTTTAGAAATGGGACTCAATGGTTCTGGACTGGGACTGAGTCCCAGGGCTCACCATAACTATTTGTAACAAAATTACTGCATTACAAACACAGTCCTCATGTATATAACAGACCTCTCCTTTTCTGTTGTGTATTTTAGACTGTAGGTACAAGAGGAGACTTTGCACTGACTCATTATGATCCAATGACCCAAGGCTGTGCTCAAATAAAAATTGAAGGGAGCCCAGTGCTCTGAGCTTGTGAAATCCAGGGTGCCCAGTTTATGATTAAGATTTTCTAGTCATCCCGGTGGAAAAGTTAGGTGCCAGGGGCCACTGCGCACTACAAGATTACAGCCTTGTGATCTGCATCAAAAATGCATTAGTGCTACTAAGCAGCCACACAGTTTTCATGTGCTTTGAAACCTACTCCAAATAATACTTGGTGATGTGTAAACCAAAATTGGAAATCTGAAATCTCACATGTCGCAAATAAAGTTTCTAAATGCACAGGAATTATTCGTAAATCCAGTTTCTATTTATCCACGAAAACCTTACGAACACTATATTTTTCTCTAGTCTATCCATACCTTTTTTATTGCAACTTAGTTTGGGCCTCTACTTACAGAACTAACCTTATTCGTCTTGAGATTTTACAGAAACGAGTGATCAGAACTATAGCTAAAACAACTTTCGATGCACATACTGATCCAATCTTTCAAAATCTTGGTATCTTAAAATTTCATGATATATACTTAATACAACTAGGCTTATTCATGTACTCCTATCAAAACCATACTCTACCTTTAAAATTTCATTGTAAATTTACCTTACAAAGTCAAATTCATTCGTATAATACAAGAAACTCGTGTAAATTTCGTCTGCCTTTCTGTCGTACTCGAACCAAACAATTTTCCGTTTTTTATCAAGGACCTAAATTTTACAACACCTTAAACACCAACATCATCAACGCTTCCTCACCTTTCTCCTTTAAAAGAGCACTTAAGGCATTTATTTGTAATAATTATTAGTATACTCCAACAAAAATTTTGGGAAAAAGCCTTTTAATATTCAACATTTGTAAACTTCCGTAATATTGATTAGTTTAATTTTTCACCTCATATTATGTTGTATCCGTCGCCGTAATTTTTATACTATCTTCGAAAAATTGTAATTGAGGAGGCCTAATTAACATAAGCTCTATAGTTTCTTTTAGGCCTCCTCGCCATCTCTTCCTACATTTTTTTTTTTGGCATCTTTTTGTAATTATCGTAATCGTGTGGCAAATAAAAAATAAAATACCTAACCAGTGACACAGTACATGACTGTCTAAGACTAATATTAAAACAATTATCATTACTCTGGCTTTGCTAGTAAATTTTTTTGGTATGTACAGCTTAAAGCCCAGAAGCTCTCAGCAGCAACAAATATATCAATCCTTCATGGTTTAGTTGTTTATGTCTGTAAAGGTGACTAAGAACTGTTCTTTACCTTGATGTGTGCCTTCCCACCTTTGGTTTCCTGCAAAAAGACCAGACAAGCACCAAATGTTAAGTTCACAGCATTAAACAAGTCAGAGACAAACATTACCCTGTTATTACCAAGATACAACCTTTGCCATAAAAAATACACCCCTTTATGCCACCAAAGAAAATGCCTTCATAAGAAAAAAATTATGTTAACAACAATGTGTTCAAAGATTTTCAAAATCAGTGCCACTAATTCTGACAAGCTTTCTTGAATTATCCCGCAACATCTTGAGTTTGTTTTTGTTAAGAATGTATTTGGAGAAAATATTTATCCTGAGTTTAAGAAAAACATCATTACAGGTTACCAGTTACTGGCAGACAGCCAGTATTTCCACTTGCAATGAATAAAAATGAATCAAATGAATCAAAAAAAAAAAAGATTAGTTTCATACACAGTTAACACCGAGGGTTTTAACAGCTAAAGCATAACTACAATGTATGTATTCAATATAGTGCTTTTAATGCAAAGCAACACTATGTCAAAATCAAGTGCCACTAATTCTGACAAGCTTTCTTGAATTATCCTGCAACATCTTGAGTTTGTTTTTGTTAAGAATGTATCTGGAGCAAATATTTATCCTGAGTTTAAGAAAAACATCATTACAGGTTACCAGTTACTGGCAGACAGCCAGTATTTCCACTTGCAATGAATAAAAATGAATCAAATGAATCAAAAAAAAATAAAAAAAGATTAATTTCACACACAGTTAACACCGAGGGTTTTAATAGCTAAAGCATAACTACAATGTATGTATTCAATATAGTGCTTTTAATGCAATGCAGCACTATGTCTTGTGAAATTTGGGTACACTGTGTTTTTATGATCTCCAAGTATTGATACTTGTATCTTTGTAGTAAAGTGAAAATATGAAGTAACCTTAAATGATGCACTCCTTTTCCAATATGTCTAATGCTAATGCTATTACATACTAAGCACTAAGTTAGAGCTCTCTTTCTCACAACCTATTTATCACATTTCTTACAACAATTAAAGTACCGTAAAAACTCGTGTATAAGCCGCACTCGTGTATAAGCCGCACCCCCAACTTTCAAGCATGATTTTGAAAAAAAAAAACAAACCAAAAATGCGCTTTTGTAAAAAAGGTGATCGTTTGTTCGCGCATCAAAATGTTTACAAATAAACTTGAGGAAATTTAATGTTGTGTATTTGCAGTGACATTTTAAATAGGTTAATCAACTCTGAAAATACCTTTTAAAAGGTTCTCTTTAATCAATTTCCCCATTTCCTGCGAAAGACAACAGTTCTCTTCATTGCTAAAGCCCACAGTTGAAATGAAAATGGAACGATGGAACGAAAATAAAGCGGTGGAGAATGCTACAAAACGATTGCTTAGTAACCATGCGTTTATTTGACGAGGGAAGTCTGGACACCAGAGAAGGACACAAGTAAACAAATGCTGGACTTGTGAAGACTGTATTTTACAAAACTGAATAATATATTTACAAGTAACAGGTACAGATATCTTGATATTAGAAAACGAAATTCCTTGTTTAAGCAAAAAACTGATTTACATCGTACAATGTTTGAAAGTACGGCTCACCACTTCTACTGAAAGCAATGATCAACGACAGGTTTCAATATGTTTAATCTTTATTTACTGAAGGTTTTCAGTTCAATTTGTGACCCCTACAAGCCAGTTTACTCCCTTTGAGAGCAATGGTCTCGTGTATAAGCCGCACCCGCGATTTTTGACTCAAAATTTCGGCAAAAAGATGCGGCTTATACACGAGTTTTTACGGTAAGACATGAGAAAAGAGGAGGGGACAAAAAATAGTAGAGGAACAACACAAATTTACCACCGCACACAGTCAAGCAAGTACATGTACAACATGGTGTTCTCATATTTCTTCAATAATTTCTTGTAGATTTAATAACAGGGTACACCAAAACCTACGTCCGATAAATGTCCGGGACAAGCAGAAATTTAGTTCGGGCAAGTAAATCTTTGACATGACTTGTCCGTGGAACAAGCACACTTCTGATTGCTGAATTACAACCACAGAAACACGAATTTCAATAGAATTGAAATTTATCTCCTAGTCATATAAAAGCAAACTTCCACCTTGACAAAATGAGTGTAAATACTCCTATAAATTTCTTCATTCTGTGGCCATTCTATTTGTTTCCGTGAGCTTTGTATGTTATGACTAAGGACTCTGGCCTAAATAACATTTGCCGTAGCATTGTAAATTATACCACAATTAACATTGCTACTAATGGAATCAGGCTAAAGGTGACGTGTTATATGTCTTTTATATTCTCTTCATTTATAAATGGAGTTGAACCAAACTTTTTGGACAAGCACAATTTGCATTTTGGACAACCAAAACCTCTATGATGGTTGTCCAAAGGACAAGCAGATTACAAAATTTTTCTCTTACTCTGTGAGAAAATTAATATTCATGTAAAACTTGAAATGTGCTCTTATTAGTGGAACATACTTTTTTTATTTAACCAGGTCCACTGAATAGAAACCAAGCAACAAAACAGAGCATTGCAGTGCAGAAAGCTACAAGTAGTTGAGGGGCCAATGTGAGACTCAAACAGGGGGCTAAAATGTTAATCAATTCATTTGGACAAACAGTGGGAAATTATTTTGACAATGACCACTAACCCACATCCCCACCCCGCCAGCCTGAGGGACTGACAGAGGCACTTAAAGCATACGTTTTGGAACTGAACCAGAATATGTGAAGTCACTGCCATCAAAAAAACATACTGCATTACTATAACTTACAGGTATCAATTTCACAGATGATAATCAATATTTAACATTCCTCCAACCAAAACCTTTTAACTTTATGCAAACTCCTAAAGAGAAACTCCCAACCTCAATGAAAAATAGGAATAACTTGAGCCAGCTTAAGCATTCCAATATAATTAAAACCATAATTCCTTATAAAAATATTTACACAAGCGACAGAGAAAAAAAACTTATTACATGACTGTCTGAGACAGAAATGGCGTTGATTAAACCTGAGCTGTCTGCAAATAAAGACAGACTGTCTGATAATTCTAATTTGAAAGGATTATACTAACAGTCCTAATTGAAAATTCATTTTTCTATACACAAAAGGACTGAATGATAAAACAGCCATTCTACGTATAGCAAGAGTTCTGAACGTTGAAACAAGTACTTAATTATGTCTACATGAGCAACAGAAAAAGGCAATAAAAAATATTTGTATCGTGCATGCAGAGGTAAGAAGTAATTTATTAGACTATAGAACAAGGCTAAAATGAAATTGTTTGTCACAAAAGTATTAAATCACATATACCACTCTTGCAGATCCTTTTCATATTGGCATTTTTGGGGAATCTGGATTTTTTATTTCTTGAAATTTCACTGAAGAACTTAATATTGAAATGATACATTATTTAATTCTTCATGAGGATTAAAAAAAATTGACCCAATTTTTCCTAAAAACAAAAATATATAAATACGAAAAGGATCTGTCAGAATGGTTGGTAACAATAAAGAATTTTATCTAATAACTTGAAAATAAGAATGACTATCTCACTTCAACTCATATTGAAAGCATAATAGTGGAAAAAATGCAAAGTAACATACAATGGTAGTTAGCACTATTAGGAGCTTCAATGTGGAAGTAAGTACACGAGTAAAACCACTTTTTCTGGACACCAAAGGGACAGAGCTTGTTGTCAACTTTTGATACAGACACCTCTAAGAAAATGGACACCTCAATAAAGTGAAAACTGAATGGACTTTGGTATCTCTGGGATCATGAAAACCATCTGTAATTATAAAAAAGGTTTCCATGTAGAGAAGTGTCCGTTAAGTGAGGTTTGCAGGAGTGTACTTTGAGATAGCTACAACTGAACTTGCATGGAAAATAATATCAGACACCATTAATAATTACATTGGCTATGTAAAGAGCATGAAGAGAAGGGTTCCAAAAATAATTTATAGTTGTTCGCTTGCTGATACAAAACATTCACACATAAATCAAATTGTCTTTCATCCATGAAGCAAATTGATTGTTTATCCTTTCCTCACCTACTGAGGTAAATTGTGAGTCTTTTAGTCAATCTATTCTTCTACTAAATTGTGTATTTTCTCCCATCTGAAATAATTAGCATCTTATTTTTCGAGTAATGCTTATGATACTGCATGTAAAGTTTGTATTACTTAAGTGTTGGTGAAGGTTGTAAAAAGTATCTTTCCAGAGACAATTCAGAACTGATTAGGAAACAACGAGAAATTCTAAAAGCAGAACTAATTAGGAAACAAAACACTGGGTTGCTGGCCATGCATCAGTGCAACTACCATGTAAGAACTCTCTTCTGTGTATCATAACCTACATTTTTCTCTTATGCCGTCTCATTGCCAGTCATCAGTCATAATCCAAAACAGTTTATACTAAGGGAAAGAAATTTTGATCACTGCCAATGTCTAACACAAAGCCAGTCCTTTATACAAGACAACACTATTGGAAAAAAATTAAACTGGTACTGATACATTGGGAAAACAAGGGTACCTTTTTAAACTACATTTCGCCTAAATTTTACATTAAAGTTAAGAATTACATGTAACCTTTACTTGATTAGAAGATGGAGGCCTTAGCTAGACTTACTTACAGCATACATGTGTTTCAAAAAAGACAGGAACAGCTTTATAACTAGATGCATGCAAAGTGACTGCATAGTTGGATTTAATTAAATTTGCAAGCAAAGGTGGTTTTAAGAGTAAAATTTTACAGTGCAGTTAATGATTGTTTTGTGGACGTTAACATTTATTCTTGTCTAGCTTCAGCAGTTCTTAAAAAATAAGCTTATATCCAGAAACTTCAAATTAAGTATACTCAATTTCTCTGGTAATTTCGACCAAAAGGGATTGAGTGGGTGAAATTTGACGTGCTGGAAGTATGGTGTAACAGGAAAATAGAAATTAATCAAACAATGCTTTAAGACAGAAAACAGAAAAGCGAACATTTCTTGTAAAGAAATTTGGAGCACAGTTTACCTTATAATCCAAAAAAGCGCAGACAAAAAATTTTAACTAATAATGATTACTATTTCAATACAATCCACTTGTTATGTCACACACCCATGTAAGAAGAAAATAATTAGTTTCCACTGATTTGACAAAACAAATTGTTTTCTTGGCTTTTTCAATACGCTAATCAATTAGGGTGGATATGTTTTATTACGAGGTTGATGGCCTGAAGTCCTGAAATTTTCGAAAACCACATCTACGTCCCACTTAAAATTAAATAGCAATATAAAGACCACTGGTAATTTAACTTCACCAATACATGCATAGTTTTAATTGTTATTTAAGAAATGACGAATGCATTCGTTAATTATCCCCTGAAATAAGTCTAAAAAAGCCTTTAATCCAAAAACAGATCAACCTCTAGATTTACATAAGAAAAGCGCAATAAACTGAAGCATTCTAATCAAGTTACCAGGTTGTTCCAGAACAATAAAACAGCAAACGAAGCATTTATATTTCCGTGGGAAAAATACTGGTCAGCAAAATAGAGGACTGTATCATTGCCAAAATTTATAGGAAAGGGGAGGAAAATATCAGTCGCGTTCTCCGGAATCTAAGGTCGCAAAGTCGGGCAAAGTTCAGATCCCGGTTTGACAATTTTAAGCCGGGCAATCCACGAACAGCTTTCCATCGGCCGATATTAAATTTTTCGAAAATAACACCAAAAAATGACCAAAAATATTACAAGACTTAAGAATTGTCCTCTTATTGGCTCATGAATTGCGATAAATTTCAATAACGTCTTTTTTATCCTCAAATATAATAAAATCAATCAGGTCGCAGGTGGTCCTTATAACAACCAAACTACTACGGTACTGAAGAAAAAGAAATTGCACAATACCGAAATTAAACATCATTTACGAACCATGAAAATCTACCCCACGCGGCTAAAGGCAGAAACGAGAAAACAGAAAGCTTGATCCGTGAGAAAAACTAAGTAAACATAAAATCGTAACCCTGTAAATGTCACGAATTTGATTATGTAGTAGTCCTACCTTTCGAATTGACACTCTGTAGTTGCACGTATCTAAAACCCCAGTAGAAATGCTCGCCGTCATTTTGCACGGAAAACTAACGAACATTCCCCACTTCACACAATGGTTACCGACTTCCTCCCTTAAAGAAAAGAAAGATATTTAAACAAAGCATAAATTTAGAGAAACAGTGAACTTATTACATGTGTTGTTTCACACAGTACTGTACTCAACGTCAAATACCTCGTTGAATAGCTCGTAAAGCTTCCACCTTCCAGTAATCTCATTTTGGCAAAGAGAACCCCGCTCACGAAGGGAACACTAGATAATTCATTTAACTTGAAGTTGACGTCAAACTTGAACTTTTTCTTCTTCATGTTTCTTTCTTATCCCAGGCTTCTTGGATTATGATTTTCTCTCCAACCGGTCGACATCTTCGCGATAACAAAAACACCGACATCTGCCTCCAATTCCCACAATGCCTTGCTTTGCGTAGGAAGTGCGACGTTGTAAATAATTTCAATCACTTCCGGTTGATTATCCATTACCGTAAAATTCCGAAAATAATTATATTTTTCAAAGGCCCTTTTTGAGGGGCTTATTTTGGAGGGGCTTATCTACGGAGGGAAATTTGTGCTTCAAAATCGATTGGGCTAACCTTATAGTTGGAAGTAAATTTACCGTTTTTGCTTTGTTTTACTTTGTATTTGAGAACAATTTTCCAAGTACAAGCCCCCGGGGGGTTTATATTTGGAGGGGCGATTTAACGGAGGGTTTTTTGCGTTACCGATTTGGGGGACTTATATTTGGAGGGGCTTATACATGGAGGGGCTTATTTTCGGAATTTTACGGTATGTTAAAATCATTTTTATTTAAAAAATTTCAACTTAAAACTTAGCGAATAAGCAAAATAATTGTTTGGGGGTACCTCAATATTATATCATTAGAATATTTTTCGTTCTCAAAACGTTTTGGCATAACTAATCTCTTTCAACGAGAAAGTAAAAAGATAAATAAATAAAGTAACAAATATTATCATTCATGGAAAGGCTTTGGCTGTCTCATCTTGGAGTTTGTGTTAGTCTTCCTGTTGTAACCCCGGATTTAATATGCCCGGAAGTGATATTAATCATTCTTTACAATAATAAGGCTTGCAGGTCATAGCATGACAAAGGTATGACGTTTGACGTTTGAAATGAAAAGTCCAGTTTTTAAAATAGAACTCACCGAGGAAGTGTAAAAGTGATAAATGACGTGAGGGCATACAAGTAGGTTCATGTCTCTATTTCAATCAAACATGTGCGTGTCTAAAAGGAGATCGAGGAAGGTCAGGAAGTGTTAAAGAGATGGCTAACACATAATGCGAGGGTACTAATAGGTTTATATCAAAGTAGGGTGTCTATGAATTGGACAATTCTATATTTCCACTTCGTTAAGTAGTCTCAAAACCTAAGGCGACGGCAACAGACCCTGTCACGGTTTTCGACGCCCTTGACGAGTGAGCAGGCAAACGCGTGAGAAATTACAGTGTTTGTATGAGAATCAATGTCGAATAATTCCCGTAGAACGGCTGTTCTGAAAAAAATATCAATTGTAAACTAAAGCTTCACTCCTAAGGATTCTACTGAAAAAAATTGAGGGCGTTACATGCGCTAGAAGACCTTAGAAACACTTTTCAAAATTTTCTACACACTCACGGTCTCATAAGACTGAGTCCTGGGAAAATTACAGACAAATTACATACATGGAAAATCTTAAGCAAGCCTCTGGAGAAATTTAAGCATAGGTACGCCCCCAAAATTTTTTAGTGCAATCCTTTACTCCGTGGCTTTAGTTTAAAATTAATATTTTTTTCAGAAAAACCGTTTTACGGAAATTATTCGACATTAGATTCTCATACAAACACTGTAATTTCTCACACGTTTGCCTACTCGTCAAGATAGTGTCGAAAACCGTGACAAAGTCTATACTTTATTGCTGAATGAAAGGAAAGAAAATCGACCACAGACAAAAACATAACGCATCATGCATTAATTAACAATTTATATATCCGGCTTCACTGAAGTACTTAGTACTTACTCAGTACTTTCCGGTAGTTCGTAAAATTAGATGGAAACTAAGCTGTAAAAAGGATTTTTTTTAAATTTTAGCTAGGGACTGCCCCTTCGTCCTTTGGATAGTCTGACGGTCGCATGACAAGTCCACTGTAACAAAGTTGACATTCCACCTTTCCCTAATCATGAAGGTTATTTCCTCCTCTGCTCTATATATTGATAGTCTGTTTCCCGGAAGTCCTTTTCATTTTTTCGATTAGTTAAAGGACCGTGTAAGCGAGAGCGAGCGCGATAAAAAAGCAATATTTTTTCACTTACTTACCCTTGGCCTAATAGCCTACGCCACGTACGCAACTATCTGTGCGACGCCGGGAGCCCAACCGGCTTCCTCTCGGTGGAGGTCAATAAATCTCCCGCTGTTTTTATTTTGATGTGGGCGCCCTTAACGATCTTTTTAGAGAAACTAGGACTGAACCGTGAGAATAATTTACTAACAGCATTATTGTATATGTATTTTCATACTTTTGCGAACCAATAACTGATTTACTGTGTAACCAGGACAGGAGCCTGTAATGGCTCCTAATGTGACTTGCTTTTCGAAATGGCTATGCCCGCAGCCGAGAATAGAAGAGTCTGAAAAAGGCAGTCAGAAACCTTTTTTGGATTTTCTTTAAAATCTGTCTCGCTTGTCTAAAAGTATTCTATCTTCATTTAGAATCACCAAGCGATCAGAAAAACAGGAAGTGGCTTCACAGTTGAGCGGTTGTGGTTCCTTGAGCATAGAGGGGAAAGTGAACCCGCGTTTTCGGCTCCACTCTTTCTGGGAGCAAGAGCCCGGGGCAAGAGCACACTTTTAAGCAGCTTAGGAATTTATATTGCCAATGAAGCATAAAGGGCCTCGTCACGCGCGTTCACGGACCGTTATACATAAACCTCCTCAATAGTTTAAAGTTTGCATTCAGTTCGTTTTGAAGATAGATCAAATAATGTATGTCTTCCGGAAGAAGACAAAACTGTATATACTGTATGTGAACGCTCCTAGGTAGAAGAGGAGGTGGCCATGGGAGGGGGGGGGGGGGAGGGGTGGGCCGGCGCTTTGGGAGGGGGGGGTAAGGAAAGTAAAAAGTTATAGGAAGGGGGGTAGAAGTTGAAAAAAAAAATGAAAATAAGCGTACTTTCGAACATCAAAAAGATAAAGAAAAAAACTGCAAAAAACCGAGGAGGAAAAAGAAGAGAAATTAGTGTACTACTCCTCCATTTTCAATTATTCAGCAAGTGTTGATAATTTTTGTAATTGATTTTGTTTGATTTAGAAAAAAATTTAGATTTTTGTGTGGAGAAAGATAAAACGTTTATGGAATTGGTGGATGTGTTGTGGGAGAGAAGGGGGGGGGGGGAGGGGGGGGGGGGGGGGAAGGGTTGGCCGTCGCATTGCGAGAGAGAGGTAAGGAAAGTATAAAGTTATAGGAAGGCGTGTAGAAGTTGAAAGAAAAAATGAAAATAAGCGTACTTTCGAACATCAGAATGATAAAGAAATAAACTGCAAAAAACCGAGGACGAAGAAGAAGAGTAATTAGTGTCAAGAAATAAAGTTTTGAAATTTCTGATGAGTCACTTCACCGCCTAACAAAACGCCAGTCACAGGCTAGCCAAGATTCTCTAGTGTTTTCACAACTTTTACTAACGGTAAACGTCATAACAATGTATCGCGTGGACATTTCACGGTCTAGAATCCGGCCTTCTGCGTCAAAGCGCAGGTGCTGATCTAGGAGAAATACTGACCGATTTCCTAGACGAGCGCCGAAGGCGCAAGCTTATAGGGGGTCCGGGGGCATGCTCTACCTTGAGATTTCTACGCCATTCAGCCAGCCTTTGGGCAGTTTCATTCTCCTTGGATGAAGCCTTGCAAATCGGCGGATTATTTCATCTCTCGATTTCAACTTGGAAAGTCTTTAATTGTTATTAATAAAATTAAATAAATTTTATTTAATTATGAAAAATCTGACCGATTTCCTTAAAACCTGTGGAAACGGGTGTGGATCAGCGCCTGAAGCGAGATTGCTGTGCTGATCGCGAACGGGACTTAACTTGTGCGTGATGCACATAGAGTTTGTCTGCTAAACTTCAGAACCTCTGGCTCTTGGTTGCGACGAAACATCAGTTTTCAGACTAAACACGTTTTAAACATGTTTAAAGACGGATTTTCACAGCTTTTAATTTAAAAAAGTGTCAAAACAAATAAATATACTGTCAAAAGTATCTAAAGGGATTCAGAAATACGTAAACAAATTTCAAGATTTTATATACAATGCTTTTTTTTATCGTAAGTGATAAAACTCTTATAACAACTGATTTATCTGCAGGGATAAAAGCAATATGCTACAGTCTACAGGGAATCGTGCATTAGCGTGGAAGACCCCAATTCTGACACGTGTCGACGAAGTTTTCTCTTGAATCCAGACGACTGAACTATACTAAGCAGGATCTTCACAATTAGTAAAACAGTTGCCACAAGACAGTATGTGAAGTACAAAAATACTGCCACTCCTACTCCAAAGGTCATTATCGGGAAGAGAAAAACAAGGAAGCAGATAAAAGCTACACAAAATGTTCCTCCAAATACTGTTATCGCACTCAGCAAGACCAGCAAGAACGAGCTCGAAACAAAGGCTACAAAGACTATGAAAGGAAAAGATCCGAGGAATGTACAAATAACCAAGAAAAGAGAGATTAGAGGATGGTTTTGCATAAATTCTTTGCTTTGTAAGAGCAAATGAAATCCTGGCCAATGTTTCAGGTTGGTCTCGAGTTTGTTCCACATCGCTCTGAGTTTGGACCCCAGTTGTAGAAACAAAGATTCGATGTTCTCAATCCTAATCATGGCGAAAAAGCACTAGAAAAAAGAATGGGAAAACATAAAACAAAATAATAAAGGTCCTCCATGACACAGAACAGTGAGAAAAAACCCCATAAAAAAACAAAATCTTGTGAGGTTTTAACTGCTTTGTGTGTGCAGTCCCTTACAACTCTTTTCACTGTACTTTTTTCTGCGTGAAATTAAACCTTTCTCTTACCTGTATACACTTCTTTATAGTTGTTTGCCGTGTACCAAGAGAATAATCTAATTGCAAAGTATAAATATGGGTCCGTTTAGACTATCCAGTCAAATATAAACAGATTTGGAAGTTCTCTCAGTTTTTTTGGAGTTATGTCACAGCTGAAACGAACACTAACTGCGTCACAGACGAACGTTGCACGCGCACAGCTCAAATTCAAGTAAAAGTAAACATCTTCCTTTGAAGATTTGCGCGCAAAGGAAGGCG